ATATAGATTGAGGAACAAAACAAGGACACTAACAAGCAAAAAGAAACAAATAAGTTGAAGAGATGAAGAAGAGGAGAGCCTGACGATTGCCAAGAGCACTTGGCATTTCATCGAGTGGCTCATCAAACGGCCAAAAGTTCCAGTGTGCCAAACCATGAGGGAATAAATCAAGTCGGCAAGAGAAAAAAGTAGTCGACTGAATGCCAAGTAGTTCCGTGATGCAGTATTAGATCGCCAAAAGTTATAGAACCTTGAGAATGTTAAACTCCTAGATAGAAGGGTGATGAAAGTGGCAAAAAGGCGGGTCGTCGAGTGGTTCGGCGAGCCCAACTTACTTTATCGAGTGACCCTTGACAGCATATTTTTGACGACTATAAATACATGTTTGAACAATTAGTTTAGCATGTTAGCTCATATATTTTCAATCTATTTTTGAGTTTTGAACTAGAAGACATGTTTTCTTTAGTTTTTCCTAAGATTTGAATAAATGAAGTTTTTCACTTTTGAGAAACTGGAAGTGGGTCTTTGAGATTATTTGAACTAAAGAATTGTAATGATGAATCTACTCTTACCAGTTGATGGATAATCAATTCGATAATGGTTTTTACCTTTTTATGATGTCTAGCTAATACCTAATTCTTAGGGTGTGATTATGAGTTTATTTAGTTAATGGGTATTGCTAATTGTTAGTTTAAATGCTATATAGAAGTGAGTGTAATAATTAATTATGGTTAATTTGAAATTGTAGATGCAAATGCACTTCTAACTATGTTCTTGAGAGGTTTTAGAACTAAGGTTTTTGATTGATGGTTAGTGGGTATTAGGTTAATATGGGTTCATCTCGAGAGAGTGAATCCTAAACCCAATCTCATACGTTCAACTCAAGAGACTGAATGGACTAAGGTGTGGATTGTTCTTATTTTGCATGCTTGTTGATATTTTAGAGAAATCAACTTTATTTGGGGTAAATTGTTCGAGAGAAACTTTATCTCCTCTATAGCCTCGCATACTTTCTAATATCTAGTTATTCACTAATAGTTACAATCACCCATTTGTCTATATTATCTTATAATCGATCCTATCCCAAAAATCTTATTTGGTATTTTTTAACACTGTTTGTAGTTGATAATCAAAACCAAAAAACCCCATTTGACATTCGTGTCACCCTTGATTTAAATGATGTTTTTACTCAATAAACTTTATTCCTATGACTGATTGGAACACTTTTATACTTGCCACTTGAATTTGGAACACATACTACTCCCGGTGGGATTCAACCCCAACTTATTTAGTTGGGTTTTATCCTGACTAATGATCATTGACACTTAGAATTAGATGAAGTGTTAAATCATTGGACCACACTCTGCCCATCAATACATCAGAGTTTGTTTATCAAATGTGCATTATTCAGAGCGGAGAATTTTGGTGTAATGCCGAGCAGAGGGAGTCCCTTGTGAGATAGTTGTCCTAACATATTGCTACTGATGAGGAGCGTGTCGAGTTGGTCCAGACCCCGAGCTTAGGTACTAAGAAGACAATCCTGGCCTTTGCCTCTAAATTTTTTTGGTTACTGGTGCATAACCATATCTCCCCTACTCAAACGGATAATGTACTCACATGGTATATACATTGATGGTTACAACTATGGTCCAGTTCAGAGATAGATTTCGGCCGCATCCTTATTGTGGGATCCATGAGAGGGTCATTAAGGCCACCACTTTTCCCTTCCCCTGCCTCATCCTTCAACTTTGCATGGACTCTGTTACACAAGTATGGTATTGTGATCGGTTGCTTTAGTGAACCAAGAACTTTGATATCGTCCTTATTCGAGATGATGCCAATGTAGCCGCACCTCGTAGGGAGCCACAAGTTGAGATGCCACTATTGGGGGATGATATTGTAGAGGATGTGGAACATATGCAAGATGATAACACTGCCACTATAACAGATGTCCAAGATCCTTTGTCTCCGACCGTTAGTCAGGCCCCTAGCTCTTCCAGAGCCACTCATTCTTCTGGTTTCACTGCATCCCTCTAGCTCGAGTATAGAAGATAAAGGAAGAATGTGAGTCCATATATGAAACATGCTATAGTGAAGTCTGAGGCAAGGGTTGAGCAGCGGATGGAACATATGATAGACTAGAAGGTACATGTTGTTCATAAGCGCCTGGATATCTTTAAGTTGTGAGTCCTGGAGAGGCCATCTGCAATATTTGATGTGACCACCTTCATGAAGGAGTTAGAGAGCCTCTCTATTGATATTGTTGTACTTCTCGCTCCCCCAGATATAGAGCCATAGTCTACTCCTACCGCACCGATTGATGATGTGGTAATGAGTGCCCTATACTGAGATGATATGTCGCAACATTCTTCCCGTTCTACTAGGAAGTGCCCCTACTCCAGTCGCACTTGTAATGATATTGAGTCTAAGAGAGTGAAGAAGAAGGAGCGCTAGTAGACTGAGGTGGCTAGGAGGGCATCCATAATTGACGAGGAAATGAGACAATAGATGGACAGGGAGATAGGTGTGGGTCCATCTACCGGTATGAGCACTACTGACAGTGTTGTGAGAGTTGATGGGAGTACTACTGAGAGTGTTGGGATAGTAGATGGGAGATGACATTCTAAGTGTTGATCCAGCAGGCTTCGTGAAACTGGACCCACCTGCGTCTTTAGTGGTCTTCGTGTGCATAAGCGCCACAGGTTTAACATAAAGTTGATGGTCAATTTTCAAGAATAGTGAAATTATATAGTTTTGATGGAAAATAGTTTCGGCAAGTGAAATGATATAAAGTCAATGAAAAATGGTTCTGGTTAGTGAAATTAAATAAAGCCGGTGGGAAACGGTTCCATCTAGTGAAATGATGGGAAATGGTTTCGGCTAGTGAAATGATATAAAGTTGATGGAAAATGATTTTGACCAGTGACATTGTGTTGATAGAAGATAGTTTTAACACGAGATTAATTATTGAGATTTGATGCATTTTGATGGTTATTTTTGACTTACTTGTTAATTTGATGCACTTATTACGTGTGCTTGATCTACTTCACATTGAACTTGACTTTCTTGATTCGTTTTGGCTGTTAAATTGTGATTATTGAGCCTTGTTAGTTGTGTATCATAGAATTGTTAGATTGGGCTGATTTTTGTGCATGTTGTAGTTTGAGGAAGTTTGATTGAGATAAAAGGAGTATTCAATTTTCTAGCTAGTTGTTTTGTTTATTAGGTTGCTTGTTGAATACCGTGTTTTTGGTACTCACTTCTTGCTTCTACATTTGTGTAGGTTCTTAGCCCGATATAGTGTGATTGTTCATCTTCTCTCTTTCTGAGACTTGTTGAAAGACTTGAGATGTTGATGCATGTCATCGCGGCAGATCCTCTTTTTCCTTTTCTTTAAGCTTTGTTTTATTTGCAAGACAGACTTAGAGACTTGTATTTTTTTTTCTTATTTCACAATTTATGTATTAGTGGCTCTTATACGTGACAATCAGTTTTTGGGGTGTTAATAGTATGAACAAGTTTTTCCGCTTTTATCTTATTCTTGCTTTATCTTTTTGCATTTCTTTATTTCGTTGCGTTGAGGCTGACTTGTCATGGTGGGAAAAGAAAAATGTCATCACGGCCATTTTGAGTCATGACAAAATAGCTGATTATTCATGATAAAAATGTTTTGTGACTACATTATGAAATTATTTTAAATATTTTGTAATCAATTTAAATAAGGGTTCATTTTTAGTTATATATTTTTAATATATGATGATCTTCATTTAGCTTTTCTTTCCTTTCATTTCCTTGATTTTGATTAAAATGTTTAAGGTGAGGTGTCAAATCATCCTTCTGTTGATAAGTTTTACCCTTGTTTATTCTGTTCATCCATACTGTTTCACATTTCTCTTTTACAAAATCTTTAGCAAATCATCAATAAGAATAAATTTTTACTAAATAATTAATTTTAAGAGAAATGGAAAATATTAAAATTAATTCTAATTTGATCTTGTAGCAATGACAAGTATTTTAGGACAAACATTTTTTGATAAAATTGATAACTAATATAAGGTGGAAAGAATATATATTTTTTCCTTTAATTTTATTTATTCAAAATACTATTAAAACTCAAATAAGCACTTTTTAATTTAAAAAGTTTAAATACAGCTTGAAAATACGAAAATTTCTGTAACTTTTTTTTTAAAAGAAAATAGACGTTATTAATTAAGAGTGCATTAACTATTGAAACCATAAAATTTCTATTTATCTTGTTTAAATGTTAGAAGTATTTAAATTTTTTGGTGTTCTTATAATTTTTTTTGTCATCTCATCTGATTCATTATTTTTATACAGCCCTTAGTGTTTTCAAGAAACTCAATTAGACATGGCAAAGATGAAATTTTTTATGTATATCAAATCAGATCTTCAAAAGCTTTATAATCTTATTTACAGATTTTAATCATTTAGTTTCGTTTTAATAGACAGTTATTTTATTTAAATTTTATTGTGAATCAAGTCTTTTATATTTTAAACTTTTATTCCTTGGATTATTTTGAGAGGATTTGTATCTTTCTATTTCATGTTTGACACGGTTATATTTATATAATTATTACGGTTAACAAATCATTAAATTTAATAATAAAAGATAAAGTGTAAAGAGGGTCATAAAAAATCAAAAGGATAAAGGGAACAATTATTGTTAAAATAATTGGTGCTTAAAATATTTATTGTATGAATTTTCTCTCGTCTTAACACGTAAATGTATGAGTTATTACTAATATATAGTAATTTGTTGATCTTAAATTGGCTATAATTTATATGAGTACGAAAAAGTATTTTAAAGAAAATTCTTAAGAGTAAATTCTTTTATTAATTAATAAATAAATTAAAATTTTAAGATTTTTTTTTTAAAAATAATTAATTAAGAATATAGATAATTAAAATTTAATAAGCAATTATGGAGAGAAGTCCAATAATAGTAATATAGAAGGGAGAAAGAGAGTGTGTGGTCCATAGTTGTCCTTGTTCAACGTAACGTTAATGACTTTGTTTTTTGGAATTTCCATTTCCATTTCCATCTTCCTACAAAATTCAATTTCAGCTTCTATTGAAAATCAAACTCTATCTTGGAGAATTCACTGTCTTCCCATGGAATCTAACTCTTCTTCTCCAAATACCATTCCAGTTTTCTCCACTTTGGCTTCACCATTTGACGAAAATACTGATTCCAATAGAAAACCCCTTAGTTTGTGGCCTGGAATGTATCATTCTCCTGTCACTAATGCTCTTTGGGAAACAAGGTCCAAAATTTTTGAAACACTTCTTGATCCCCCTATTCATGCTCCTCCACAAAGTCAATTGCTTACAAAAAAACCCTCAGACAGCAGGACTTCAATTCTTTATAATTTCTCTACTGATTTTATACTTAGAGAACAGTATCGGGACCCGTGGAATGAGGTCAGAATTGGCAAGTTGCTTGAGGATCTCGATGCTCTTGCTGGCACTATTTCTGTCAAGGTACATTCTTTTTCATATCTTCTGCATAACACTTGAACCTTTTTTTTTATTCCAATGCCTGATAACTATTTATGAATATGAATCTTGTTTATCCGGGAATAAGTACAGTTGAATCAACGACACCTGGATCCATTTAACTTATTACTTTGTTGTTAAGCAACTAGTATGTCCTTAAATAAGCTTATTAAGAAAAAAAACGTGATGAAATAAATGAATGAAACAGTAAAGCTTAGATGTTGTTGATTTTGGTTTAACAAATCTTAAGTGCACACCCAAAGTTGGAGGGCATAGGAGGCCAAGCTAAACGACACGGTTATCTATTATGTCTTATTCTTAGCAGCATCAAAAAGGAGAGTATGCATACTTATTATTGTGGATATATTTGTTATGCTTCGCACCGTTGGAAAGGGGATTATGGTAACTGTCTATGCTCTAGAGCTAAAAGAAAACTCTTTTTGAGTAAGAATTTTAAAGTTAAAACCTATAGAACTTTTAGGTCATGTAAGCAATTGTTAGTTTATTGTTTTTTCTTGAACCAAGTGATTAGATTCCAGAAATGGGATTGATGTGTATTGTGATTTGTGATCTATATAGTAAAATGCAGGGAAGGGGACATTGTTCAAAACACAACAGAAAAGAAAACCTGATCTTAATATGTGATGTAAGGATCATTAATTATATGTATGATCTAATCCCATCTGCTTTTCTCTTCCATATGTTCATCAAAATTCACTTCATTTGAGGAATATATTAGACAAATGTGACACTTACACATAAAGATCCCCTACAAATCAGTTCTTATTTTTGTGGAGAAAGGGGAGAGTTAAATATACCAGTCAGTGTCTGCACCATTTGGTAAAAAGCTATTGAACAATGATAGATTGTGGAGTAGATGAGATTCACATTGAATTAGTTTCTTGTCTTTATTTCATGTAAGAACTTTGTGCAGATGAATTCCTGCGGAGAGATATGATCATCTTCTCCCTAATATAAAATATCTATAACAAACAAGATCAGGGGTCCAAATGTAATATCTGGTGAGCAGCCATTACCCAATCTCTCCAACGAATAGGTTACAATTTGATTTGCATTGGCTTGTATATGTAGTGTATGGTGAAGTAAAATGTAGATTGGATCTGAACTTGTTCACTAGTAAATGGCTAACTCAAGTCATTCAAAGATGCACCAAATTTTTCTTGTAAGATTGAGGTGGTGGAATAGGAAAATGGCTTTTTGGATCAGTAGAGTTCTTATATCAACTGAATTGGATGAAATATACCCAGACTCGGTTCAACAGGACTTATCCTACCAATAACCATCAGTTATTTTCGAGTTGCTTAGGTAAAGGCCAGATTGGATGCTTTTTTTAAAAAAAATATGTATTGGAATGCAAACAAATTATTGTGGGTCATCTGGATGAACTTTAATTCATCATTTATATTTTTGATACCAAGAGAAGGGAGGCATCTGATATTGAAGACCCATAAGTCTGATAGTGAGCATGTACAGGACCATGGTTAAGGTACTATCAGTAAGGTGGAGGATAATAACGGATAAGTATCTCTTACTTAGAGAGTGCCTTTGTGAGTGGAAGACAGATCTTGGATAAGTTTAATTGCCAAGGATACTGCGACTTGAGGCTGAGAAGGGGATGATCGTGGTTTATGATTATACTGACAAAGAAGATATAGAAAGGAGCATCATGAAAAAAAGGTTGGTGAAATCGTACTACAGTTTCTTATGCAATGGGAGTGCTAGAAGATCATATGATGTTGAATTGGACGGCAGAAAGTGACTTTCTTTACATGGGGTGCCATTTCTGCTTCAACCCTAATGATGGATGACTTAAAAAGGAGGGATTGCATAGTAATAATTGGTAATGCATGAGCAAGAGGAGTGTTGACGATATGGATCACCTACCGTTATATTGCAATTTTGCGGTGGAGTCATGGGCATTATTCTATTCCTATTAATGCTGTTGCTGAAGAGATTGAAAAGATTTTAGCATGTTGTAGGAGGAGAAAGGTCGAACAAGATAGAAAGAAGTGTGAAACTTCTCTTTTTTAAATTTTTGGTGATGTAGAGAGAAATAGTAGAATATTCAGGTTATAGAAAATTATGTTGGGGGTTAAAAAATTCTCTTTTTCATTTATATTTGATGCAAACAAGATCTTCATTTTATTAGATAGTTGAATGGATCTTCTGGAGCTTTAATTAGTGTGTTCCTTACTTCTACACTGCCTTGGTTTGATTTTAAGTAGTAACTATTTTTAAGGAACAATATGCACTGTACGATTTTTGGGAACTTTTTCTTTAGAAATTGACATTCTTGAGTGCTAGCTTATGTACTTCAACATATTATTGGAATTTGTCTGCTAAACTTGCTGTTGGTTGAATCAGCATTGCTCGGACATTGATAGCATGACTAGACCACTCTATTTGGTGACTGCTTCTGTTGATAAAATGGTGCTGAAGAAGCCGATCAGCGTTGACACTGATCTGAAAATGGTTGGTGCAGTCATTTGGGTTGGCTTTTCTTCAATTGAAATTCAACTTGACGTTATACAGCCAGCAAATGGTATTTTCTCAAACTGAATTCATGTATTAGCATGTGACAATTTTCATGGTCATTAGCTGCTTCTCTCAAATGTATCAATCTGATATCTTTGAGTTAATGACTTCCATACTTACTAAAAGAAGGATCTTTTACTTAGCAACAAAGACTATTAAGTACAGAGACCATAAAGTATTTTACATAGCTTACCATGTTAATGTGTACCTAGTATGTGAATTGGTTAAGTTAAAAAAACAATGACAATCTTATCCTAAACCTGGTTTTGAAACCTAGTCTTGTTTATTTTAAGCCCACATCAGCTTGTTAAATTTCAAAATGTTCTGTCTTTGACTTGTACCCTTAGGGCCGTTTAGTGTGAGGATTAAAAATAATAGTGATGGGATAAAAAAAAATTATCTTGTTTGTTTGCCATGTTTGGGATAACTTATTCCACCAAACATATCATAGTGATGGGATAAGTTATCCCATATACATGGTGAGATAAGTTATCCCAGGATAGCTAACCGCAGGATAACTTATCCTGGGGTAACTTGTTTCCAACCAAATGACCCCTTAAGACATGGCAATTAATAGTTGAAGTATGCCAGCATTGCTGTCATCCTCCAAATAATCACCTGACGCACCATTCAAAAGCGAAGCCAGGATTTTCAATAAGGGGGGTCGAAATTTGTAGAAATAGACACATGAAGTAGCCGAAGGGGGTTCGACATCTACTATATATACATATAAAATTATTTTATCCATATATAAATAATATAATTTTCCGTTGAAGGGGGGTCCGGATGAACCCCCTTCGTACAAGGTAGCTCCGCCCTTGCATTCATGAATGTAGATCTTCTCTCCTTATAGGAATTATACTGCTTTTGTCCATCCCAGTCATATAATACATGCTTTTGTACTGTTATGAAACTAGTGGATATTCTGTTCTTCTATGTGCCTGCTATTCACACATTTCTCTCAGTTTCTCACTTGTGGTACTTTTTCTTCCGTCAACACCAGTGAGACTGTTAGTAAAGCTAAGAAAGGAGCTTAGCTTTATCAGCTAACTCATCATTAAGTACATGGTGAATAACCCTGCATGCTGCTAGCTTCTCTTTCATTCTTTCTCAAATCTCACCATATCTTTTGTTCCTTTCAAACTAAATCCCACTTTTTATGCATTCATTTCGTCAATTTTACTCATTGAATTTCTTTTTGACATCTATGAATCCAGTTTAACGTGGATGATGTTCATGCAGGGAACAGTGATCCCTCAGAATCAGTCGCTCTGACTGCAAACTTCATTTTTGTTGCTCGTGATTACAAGACAGGGAAAGCTGCTCCAGTGAATCGATTATGTCCCGAGACAGAAGCAGAAAAAGTGCTCTATGAAGCAGCTGAAGCTAGAAATAACCTTAGGAAAAGAAAGAGGGGGGGAGACAGAAAGGAAATTGAAAATGGGGGAGTTAACAGACTTGAAGAACTATTAGCTGAAGGTAGAATATTCTGTGACATGCCAGCCTTGGCAGATCGGGACACCATTCTTCTCCAAGATACCCGCCTTGAGAATTCTTTGATTTGCCAGCCACAGCAAAGAAATATTCATGGTCGGATCTTCGGGGGATTCCTGATGCTCAGAGCATTTGAACTTGCATTTTCGACAGCTTATGCTTTTGCCGGTTTGATGCCATCCTTCCTGGAGGTTGATCATGTTAATTTCCTTAGACCTGTGAGTGCACTATGTTGAATCTCTCCTCTTCAGTTTTCACTGTTAACTTGATTAATAGTGGAACTGTTTAAATATTTTTTTAACCAATAAATGGGTACGGTAGGTCTCGCACCAACATCAGAATGCCCTTCCTACAACACCAGCATACCTAGTACTTGTTTACCCACGACCAAAATTAGTACATGGACAGTTGTTCTTTCCTCCAGCACTAGACTGCCTGTTAGCTACACAATTCAAAATGCAAGAACTGCTCTTGGTTCCTCAGTACTACATACTATTCAGTACTGATCAGTTGAACCATATTCAACCACATTAGCAGGAAGAAAGTCCTACTTATGTAAGGGAACATGGAAAAGATGAAATACTGCTAAAAGGAAATGCTCTTTTTATCACTAGTATGCTTAATGAACAAAAGAGAGGATTATATCATTTTTACATTTTCCTTTCCTAGTTTATTCCAGTGGTGCAATTTTTTTACTGTTGCAGGTTGATGTTGGAGACTTTTTGCGTTTCAAATCATGTGTACTTTACACTGAACATGAGAGTACTGATCAACCTCTGATCAATGTAGAAGTTGTTGCTCATGTTACTAGGCCTGAGCAGAGGTCTAGTGAGGTATATTAAACTTCTATGAAACAAACTACTCCCTCTTTTCCATTATATATGACTTCTTCTCTTTTGGTTTGTTCCATGAAGTAAGACACCTTTCTAATTCATCAACTTTAAATTTTCCATTTTACCCTTAAAAGTATGCTCTTATATCCGCAGAAGTGTCATGTCTAAGAGTAATTTTGGTATGTGTTGGAAGTCTTTTGTTCCTTTTCAAAGGCCGTGTTTGATCAAACAACACTTTTGTAAACAAAACCAAGGGATTAGTTAATGTTGTAGCAGAAGTAGTAGGTGGTTGCTAATGTAGCTTATCTACAAAATCCCGGAATTGCTCTTATTCTCTAAACCGAAATGCAGGTATCTAATAGGTTCTACTTCACATTTACTGTCCGTCCAGAGGCTAAGGCCACAAATACTCAATTCAGGATCCGTAAAGTTGTCCCAGCTACAGAAGAAGAAGCTCGTAGGGTTCTGGAACGCATGGATGCGGATCATCAGCAGTCATGTGTACCAACAAATGAACATCTCGTGGGAAAAAACTAGATAGATGTCAATTGGGTTTTGACCTGTTTGTAGTAAGTCCATAGAAATTTATCTGTTGAAAAGAGGGTTTTTGCTCAAGTTCCATTGCAGCCACCATTGGTACGGAAAAGAGGTATATCCAGCTTAGGCTGGTATTGGCAAATTATAGTCATTTGTTGACCTGAATTTGAGTGATTCGTGTTGGAACTCAGTATTGTTACTGTTTTATGGTTTGTCCAAACTAATAATAGTAACTCTTTGAAAACTTGTTTCTTCGAATTTATGGGTTTGCAATGCTAAAAGAAATGCATTTCTAGGATTGAAAAACTATAGACCAACTCAACAAGTAAAATTAAATGTGCACTGCTATTACTACACTATATTTACTTGAATTATTATATTTGATGTTAACACGTAGGTTGGAAGTTGGAACTAGTGCTCTTTTCATACAAAAACATAAATGCGGAGCATTTGGCTTCCCTCCCCCATTATGCGGCTGCAATCGTGATTTCCTTTTTCTCAGTTCTCATAATTGGTAAAATTAGTTGAAACTTCTTTTCGAACCAACGGTAAAATAAAGTTGAAGACATCAGCTACAAACACAGCTGGTTCACAATGTTCATTTTTAAAAGTTTTTTCTTCTTTTCAGTGGAGGTACATATCCTATGTTTCTCTCGACATTACAAATATGAAATACCACTCAACAATATTTGCACCCTTTTTCTTGATTTGAATACACTCAATAATCTTTGAGATATATAAAACACAAAATGTTTCCGGCAAAATGCCTTTGTTATTTTCTAAAGGGGTGCCCTATATCTATCTATCTATCTATCTATCTATGGGAATGATAACTTTCCACATCTTATACAATGAACTATATAAATACAAGATTATCAAAAAAAGATAACATGTACCTCAGAAGGCAGGCACAGTCTCAGACAAACTCCTAGATGGCCTTTTATAGTACATTACATTGGTTTTGGCCAAAAACAAAAACTAGGGTTCTGCCTGCTATAAGCTAATGTTGCGAATGAGCAGATAAACTGTCCTCGTCTGATGAACTATGCTGCCATTTTGCTGTTAACCAGCTAATGGTAGGCTGTAGATTTGGATTTACTGGAACTGGAAACTTGTGGGCAGAACTGACTACTGTACGTTCATTTATCATTCCAACTTCTTTGCAAACGCGATCAAGAACCATTAGGAAGTCTCTTACCACCATAAAGATCCTAAAAGGGTGAGCCTCTTCTCTCGCTGAATTTCCATGGAAGTATTCAGTTATTTCTTTCACCAACGACATGGCAACACTTTCTAGAGCTTGGAGCCTTATGATCTCATCTTCTGCCATTTTCATAAACCTTCTCATGGACTCCGAAAATCTTTCTATGCTGCTTTCCTTCAAGCCAACTGCTTCAGTTGATCGGACAACTTCAGCAATGTTTCCAATCCCTTTAGAAAGTTTTAACACCTCACTATGAAGCACTTCTGAATCCATAGCAGCAGCTTTCTTAACATTTACAACCTCTGAACTAAGGTTCGAAACAACTTGGAGGCCAAGCTTCCGGCACTTGAAGTCATCGTTCATGGCCGACTGTTGATCTTGATCTCCCCCAGAAAGACGAGCACCTTCACTTCTTATGATCTCCTGTACCACAAAATGCAAGAGGGTTGTTTTCCCATCAGCTCCCTTCACATCTACAAGCTTTAGAAGGGTATCTAGTTTGAACGCATGTGCATCACCCCGATTTGTCCCAACATTCATGCGGTTACCGGTCTTCAGAACTGCTTCCAGAAGCTTTAAGAACATTCTATTGCTTCTCAACTCTTCACAAGCAGCCTGTCAAGTAGCAAAGCTTCATAAGGTTTACAACACCTGAGATTTCTGCTATTGATTTATGTAAGAAGATAAGAAACAGAGTATGAATACTTGAACAGGTCCAGTTAGCATGCAGTTCCACATTTCAAGAGAGAAACACATGCCAAATTCATCACAAGAGTATCAAGTTCAGACAGTTCAAGATGAAAAAATTGATTATTTTCCAGTCTAGCAATTAGATGTCCTATAATACTGATGCTACAGCACTTCCTTCCGAAATCACATAAGGCTATTTTTGAGTTTTATTTGTCATAAGTACCAGGTATGTGAATCCGAGCAACATAGGGTACCAGCATATTTACCTATTTAGCATGTCAAACAGAAAAACCTTACACAAATTCTTCTATTAAATCAAAATCAGAACTGTTCAGTGATTATTAAAGAACTCAATATACAGTGAGAAGTTGAAGATGACCTGAAATAATTACCTCCAGAGTTTCAAATGACTTTTTGAGGTAGTCAACCTCAGAATCAAAATTTGATATGTACAGCATAGCATCTACCCTTTTGAATGAAAAAGGTATATCAAGCACTGCCTTGAGAAACTTCTCGGCTGACCCAAGCTTAAACGGAGTATCATCTTTATAGTCTTTCAGCTTGCATTCTTCTTCTTTGGATGGAGCCATCTTCAATAAACTCTCAAGGAGCTCAGTCCCTAGGGCATCAGCATTTCCTGAAAAAAGAACGTACTAAGTTTCTACAAGCGGAGACATCATAAATTCTAGATACACTTGTACACTAAAAAGAAAAATAGAGAAAGGATCACCCTATTGAAGGTAAAAAGCAGCAAACAGCAGAAAACCCAAAAGGTAAAGCTGTCGACATGGTTAGGAAACGATGTACACCAATAAGCAACCACAAACCATATAAGATGATGCTCTAGCCTAATTATTAATACCCTGATATCCATGAGCAAAAGCCACATACCCTATGGACACCTCTAAACTAGTCAGCTATCAGTTACCTTCTAAAACAATGTGAATCTCTACTCTATATTTACTCATACTAGTAAAGATTTTACTCATACTAGTAAAGATTAATGCATATGATGAACAACGCATGGTGTTTAAGAAGTTAATGGGAAAACCATTAACCTCTGTTGGTTAATTTACGTTTCAAGATCAATGCATATCAATTCATCTATAACAACAGCACACGTGAACTGAATGACAATTCAGTATTATGTAACCCTGCAGAAGATCTTTTATGTAGAACTAGAGCAATTAATAATCTGGGATTACTATCATCCCGGTCATATTTCAGTTTGAATTTTCAAGTCCGAGAATAACAGAGACGCAGAATACCTTCTAAAAGGGCTTCACATACTTCCTCAACAGTTACATTTAGTGCTCTTAGCAAAATTGCAATATTTTGTGACTTCTTTGGATCAAGTACCCTATTCTCTTGGCTCTGCGAGGGAAGAAGAGGGCGTCTAGTCATTTCTTTTGGATTTAGAGTTGGGTTCTTCACAATAAACAAGCTTTCTATCATCTCCTCATCCAATCTGCAAACAAATCAGCTCAGTTTTAATTGCCCGACAAAAAAGAGGAGAATTTAATATATGTAACAAAGTGTTTAGATTATCCTACTTAAATGAACTTGATTTCAGTTGATCCCACACCATTTCCCGATCAGAACTAGCTCTTACTTTATCCCAATGCAAAGTCTTCAACTTTGGTTTTGGAGTTTCCTCATTGTTCCCACCAGAATCACTCGATAAGCCTTCTATACTCTGCTCATTCTTCTCAATGGTTTGCTTATTACAAGGCAACTCCATTGGGGAAATCAGCACTGGACTATCAAGTTCTATGGGTCTTAAAGGAGTTACAAGAACTGGAGGTCTAGATAGTGGCTTTGAAATTGGTGGTGTTGGAGTTTTTGGACTATCCCAATTTTTAACTGGTGGTGGCGGTGGCGGTGGCGGTGGTGGAGGCTGTACGCGAGCCGGAATACTAATCAAAAGAGGAAGTGGCGGTGGTGGTGGAACTGAAACTGGTGCATTCTGCTGTATGTGATTGCTGATTCTTATGGGAGATTCAACATTCTGATCCCAAACATCGGAAATTCTGGGTGATGAGTCAATACTTCTGCTTGAATATCTCTCGGGAGATGATGAACTGGGCGGAGATGGTGAATCAGATTCCCCGTTAATGACCAATATAGGTACAAAATCTGCTAGCGGTGGAGAATGATAGTGAGGTAGCGGAGCAGTAGGAAGAGCAAGTACTTCGGGTGACTTGGGCTGTGAATTTTTCGGACTCAAACTGACGGGTGGAGAAATGCTCAGCGATACACCCGAATCGGAAGTGGAAGAGGAGCATGAAGAAGATGAGGTGGAGGCAGCAAAATTGTTGGCGTCAACGGCAGCAAAATCCCTGCGCGAAGCCGATCCAGTTCCGATGGAACTTCCCCTACCATCTAAAGATTGAGTTGGGGAGTAGAACTCGTCATCATCTTCAGTTGTAACATGTGCACTCCTGTGTCCATGTAATGGGGGCAACGGGTGGATCTCTGGTGAGTCCACTTTTGTTGAAGTAGGAGGGGGAGGATTGTGTGCACTAACCATAGTACCCAAGTATAGAAATTCAGAACTGGTCTGAGATGGTCTTTGTAATTTAGGAATATTAGTTGGGTCTGCAGTGCTGCTATTAGATCTGTGTGTTTTGTTATCATTTGAATCATGATTTCTTCCTCTTCTTCTGTGGACAAAGATAGCAGAGAAGATAAGAAGAATAGCAGCAAGAACAGAGGCGATGGCAGTAGCTATAAGTTTAGATGAAATATTTTTGGATTTGGGTGAATGAGGAAGGATAAGAGAAGAAATATTAGCAGGAAAAGAAGCATAAGCAGAAGGTGGTGGAGGAGAAGGGAAAGAGGGGAAAAAGGGAGTGTTGTTATTAGGAGTAGAAGAAGAATCAAAAGGGTATTTAGGAGTAGTAGAGGAAGAAGGTGGATATGAATCTTGTGGGAAAAATGGCTGATGAAGAACACGGCGGTTCTTGGCAGAGACAGCGACGGAGAAGAGGAGGAGGAAGATGAAGAAAGAAGGAAGCATGATGATGGAGAGAGAGAATGTAGGTAAGCTAAGCTAGAGAGAGAGAGGGGTAGAAATGCATCAAAGATAGATATGCATGGATTTGGAGAGTAGGAGGAGTAATTGAGAGTGTGAAAAAGGTAGAAATAGTGATGAGTAGACAAAGTAAGTACCTGGAGTGTCCACCCTATATTTCTACTCATTTTCTCAATCAATAATAAAGCTGGACGGACTACTACTATTTTACGAGTCAACCCATGTACGCATATTTCAATTTATATTATATTATAATTTCATTTTACACTTTATGAAATGTAATTACATAAATATTATATCATCATTGTTTGACGGACAAATATCTCAAATATTTTTTTACGGAACCTCATTAATAAAAAAAATATTAATTAATTATGACAATTTTAAATTAATATAATCAATATATACATTAGAAAATAAATATTTAATTAATATGCCCTTTAACTTTGCTTCATTTTATATTTATTTCCTCTAATTTTGAGTGTGCACAAGTATAAAATTAAACAAATGGACACACACGTCCTATGTGACATCCTACGTGAAAATTTATATCTTACATGGTATCCTATGTGTATCTTGCCACATAGGACTAATGTGTCAACTTGTTCAACTTTATATATGTTTAAGAGTGCTAATGTTTTCCAATTTTCTCATGTTTGGTTGGGGCAAAAGTTTTGGACAATGTTTCCAAATCAACTCATTTTCCTCAAAATTAAGGAAAATGTCTTCCCTTCAAAAATTAAGGAAAACATTTTTCAAAGCTCTCCTCCAATTTCAAATTAATTTTTTTTTGAAAAAAACATCAATATTTTTAAAAGAATATTTTCAATTTCAAAAATTTATTTTTTCACCCGATCCCTGACCACCCTCCCTCCCAACCCCCCTCCCCAGAAAATTAATTTTACTTTTTAAAAATAGTTTCAACTTCAAATTTTTATTTTTAAACTCCTAACTCCCCCCTACTCACCCTTACCAGCCCCCCCCCCCCCCCATCCCCAACCCCCAAAAATATTAATTTTGCTTTTTAAAAATACTATCAACTTCAAAATTTTATTTTCTCACTCCTACCCCCTCCCTGCTTCCACCCCCACTACCCCCACCACCACCACACCCAAAAAAAAATATTTTTGAAAAATATTTTCAATTTCATAAATTATTTTCTACTCTAGTAAAAATAAAAAATGTTCCTCAAAAACATTTTTCATTCATAAATTAAACACTAAAATCATTTTTGGAAAATATTTTCTACTCACCAACCAAACATGAGAAAATAAGTCCAAAATCTACTTGTTTTCTAGGAAAACATTTTCCATGGAAAACATTTTTCTTCATACCAAACACATCCTAAGTGTCTATATGTGCACACCCAAAATTAGGGTATAAATATAAAATGAGACCAAGTTAAAGAGTCTATATATGTATTATACATTTAATTAATGATATTATATAATGTATAATATGTTAACAATATATAATATTAAAATATTTAAAAAGTAAAATTAAAAAGTATGCATATTAGTTGTTCAAATTTAATATCAATACAAAATACAATTATGAGTTGGCATATATGAATTTCAATATATTCATCCATCTAGAATTTCAATAGGGATGACAATTGTGCGAGGCAAGGAAGATTTTAGTTTAGGTGGGACGGGACGAATTTTGTGAGTATGTGAATAGGAGATCGGTTGAAATTACTTTCTTTTTTAGAAAAAGTAGTTAAAAATGTGTTTAAATTATGTGAATGAAATTAAAATGACTTTCGTTTATAGTTTAGCATAAAAATATTTTTATGTCAATAATTTGACTCAAAAAATGCCCATGGAGACTACATTGTGTTCCAAAAATGTCCCTATAGTTACAAAATGGATCAAAACGCCCTTTCATGAATAAATATATATTTTAAAAAAAAACATCTTCTTTCTAATCAAAATATTATTAAAAAATAATTCTTGTTTTCTTTCTTCTAAAGTCACTTAAACAAATAAAAATTTAGGCATTATTTTTCTTCTTCTTTGATCTCAGTTTATCAAATAAAACAAAAAAAAACTTCATGTACCCTTTATAAGATTATAGTATATCCACTATTAATTTTATATTTATATAACGATAAAAAATAATGATAATAAAATAAGATATATTTTATTTTTAAATTTTTTTCTCAATTGAAGTAGAATCAAGATCTGCTAACTTTTTTAAAAAATTATTTATAAAAAAAATGTGTTAGAAAGAATATGATAATGTATTTATTTGAAAAAATATGCATTTTTGATCCATTAAATAATAATAACAATATTTTTGGACCAAAATATTGACGATAAGAATATTTTGGACCAAACTACAAACACATAACATTTTGATGCCTTTCGTATAATTTAAGGGCATTTTTGAACTAACGTATTGACGATAAGAATATATGAATCAGCAATAAGAAATGAATTTGGAGGTATGACCACAGATATAAGAGAACAAAACAGAGAAAAAATAATAAATAGACAACTTATGACAAAATTAGTTATATGTAAAATGTGTTACATAGAAGAATATACATGTGCATTTAAAAAATATTACTACGAAGCAAAATACAATATAAATGAAGCAAGAGAAATAAGACAACAATATTTTACAAAATTACCAGAACCATTTAGCACAAAAATAATTAAAGATTGGAATGATCAAGGATTAGTAGATACCAAACTACATATAGAGGATATTTTTGTTCCTTTCTTATAGTTTAAGGACATTTTCGAGCCAAAATATTAATGATAAGACCATTTTTGTATCAAACTATAAATTAAGAATATTTTTGCTCCTTTCACGTAATTTAAAGGCATTTTTTACTTTTTCCCCTTTTTTAAAAAATAATAATCCGGAACTAGGCGGTTGAAAGTTTAAATATATTCAACATTCCCCTGCTATCATTTTCTGTATATTGATTTTTTGTAATTTACTTTAGTAATTGCAATTAATTTCCAAACTAATTTCCTTTGACTTTTTACATCAAAGCAATACATGGGGTGATTTCTGTAATCTACTTTAGTAACTGCACTCAGTTTTCAAACTAATCCCTTCGACATTTTACATCAAAACAATAGGTAGAGTAATTTTTGTAATTTACTTTAATAATTGCAATCAGTTTCCAAACTAAATCCCTTGACTTTTTTACAACAAAGCAGTATATGGTGTGATTTCATTAATCTACTTTAGTATTTGTACTTAATTTCCAAACTAATTCCTTTGACATATAACATCAAAACAATACGTAGAGTAATTTTTGTAATTTACTTTAACAATGTTTCAAAATAGGGAAAAGGATAAAAAAAAACATTAAATTATTCGAAATAGCTCATATATACCCTTAAACTTTATTTCAGCTCAAAACTACCCTTCTCGTCATACTATTGGGTCAAAAGTACCCTTCTTATTAACGAAAGTTGTTAAATGCCACGTGGATGCCATATGAGATGCCAAATTGCATGTCAATCGGATTCCACTGCTATGTAGGCTAAATACAAAGGGTCAAAAATACCCTCAAATTATCCGAAATAGCTCATATTTACCCTTAAACTATATTTTGGCTCAAAACTACCCTTCCCGTCAAACTATTGGATCAAAAGTACCATTCTTATCAATAGATGTTGTTGAATGTCATGTGGATGTCACATTGCATGTCAATAAGGTTCCACCGCCACATAGATTAAATCCTTATATCGTAATTACTTCCCCTCTCATTTCATTATTTCAGAAATGATATATTCACCCATTCTCCCTCATTCTGTGGCTAAGGTTTCATACTTTTCTTTGTGGCTGAGTTTCAAAGTGGATATTCATGCTTGTAGATTAGTAAATATTTTTTTCTTATTTTATTATGTTTACGATTTCAAAACATGATAGTTAAGATTTCACAACTTTTCCCTAATTTCGCAGCTAAGGCTTCGTAACTTTCTTGGGGGCTGAGTTTCAAAGTGGATATTCATGGTTGGGTTAGTAAATATTTTTTCTTATTTTATTACGTTTACAATTTCAAAGTATGCTAGTTAGAATTTCACAACTTTCCCGTCATTTCGCGGCCAAGGTTTCATAACTTTCTTCGAAGTTGAGTTTCAAAGTGGATTTTCGTGGTTGTAAACACAAGAAAATAAGAAAAAAGTTTAACCTATAACCACAAATATCCACTTTGAAACCCAGCGACGAAGAAAACTGTGAAACCTTAGCTGCGAAATGAGGGAGAAGGAGTGAAATTGTTAATGAAAAATAATGAAATGAGGGAAAAATGAGTAATTAAGATTTAGGGATTTAGTCAATGTGACACATGTGGAATTTAACAACTTTCACTAATAAGAAGGTCATTTTTGACCCAATAGTTTGAGGAGAAGGATAGTTTTGAGCCGAAATATAGTTTAAGGGTATATATGAGCTATTTCATATAGTCTAAGGGTACTTTTGACCCTTTTTCTTTTAGTCTATATATGTGGCAGTGGAAATCTATTGGGGTGTCATGTGGGATTCATGTGGCATCCACATGGCATTTAACAATTTTCGTTAATTAAAAAAGCACTTTTGATCCAATAGTTTGACGGGAAGGGTAGTTTTGAGCCAAAATATAGTTTAAGTGTATATATGAGCTATTTCAAATAGTTTAAGGGTACTTTTGACCCTTTTCCATTCAAAATATTGTGATTGTCACGATTTCAAGTATACCTTAGACGTTACATGGCGTATAAGACCTTGTGAGACATACACGAGCTACTTGACATACATATACACATAGATAATAGACAAAAAGTAAAACATTTTATATCAAATAGAAGAGTTTGTCATTTAAATAGCGAAAGTCTAACATAGTTTTGACATCTATCACATAAAAAAGAGTGGTATCCATTCAAACATAAGAGACATAATTAATAAAGACGACGTCGTTCTCTGAATATGAGGACTCATCATGTCTTCAATCTCTAAGATGATCAACTAGCCACGAGCGGAGGGTGGAGAGTCGTCAATTCCAACATTAATGAAACAATGAACGCACCAATAATGCTTTAGTACATAAAATGTACTAAATGTGAGGGATGTGCATGAAAACATATAACATGATCATAATAGGATATAATAAAAAACATGATGTGCATGGCTAAGCGAAAC